TATGAGACCTTTGATTGACTTGGTGAGGAATCTAATATTGGAGAAACAATTTTTGATTCTTGCATTAAGCAGCAGCTGCTGTGTTTTTATGAGGATGTGCCTTGAAAAAGAACTTCCAACCGGGTCATGTATCCTGAGGGAAGGCGGGATGAAATCAGCATTTTTGCAAAGACGGTTGAATCTAAGGTGGCATCTCCAACGCGAAAGTTGTAGGGACTTCTTATGAATTATCCATAGGTACCAATCGATGTCGCTCGTAGAGAGATTCATAGGTATAAGAAATAACGAATTTAGAAAGATAGAATAATTCTTTTTGGAGTGAACTTATACGATAATAACAAGGCGAAGGAAGACGAGTATCTTTATTGGTGCATAAGAGCAAGCTTTCGGGCAAAAGCCCTTCGACTGGCAAGATATAACGACACTGTGAACGACAACGATGGCGGTAGTGAATATATACACATATTAATTTACATAAATATAGAAAAAAGCATGCAAATGGCCAATTTAACTATTTGTAAAAAAGTGAGAGGTAAAAAATAAAAATAAAATAAAATAAAAATAAAAATCCTATAGGGCAATAGAAGAGATGCCAGAACATTAGCTGAAGGAAGGAAATATTAATGAGGCATAATATATGGTTGCAATGGAATATCAAGTATATAAAAGAGAAATTTATACATGAAGGCCAGGAGAGCTTGATATGCGTCAGGGAGGTCGAATTTTTTACAGTTAAATACAAGGGGGAAGTTTAAATAAAGGACAGGAGAGGATGATAGGCTTCTGGAAGTTCTATTTTTCTATTGATGCTGTTTAGTTTGTGGGATACTATTGATTCTAAAATGAGTCTTTGGTGTAAGATATGTATGTGGCTGTAATGTATGGTGGGGTTGTTGATGTTGAAAGTGTGGCCCGTGGTCTGCATATGTTGATAAATGAGGGACTTGGTATCTTGACGGGAAATATTGCGGGAATGTTCAGTCATCCTGATGGATACAGATCTACCCGTCTCACCAACGTAAGTGGCAGGGCACTGTTCGCATGAGACGGAGTAGACTGCACCCACAGGACGAAGGGGGGCAGGGGGAGCTGAGGACTTAGTATGAGGGTGACGGAGGGATGAAAGAAGGTTCGGGGAGTTTTTATATATGGTACGGATGCCATAGGGTTTGAGTTTTCTGGCTATATTAACAGAGGAGGGGGAGTAAGGGAGATAACACGATGATCTGTATGTCATGGAAGGATTGGAAGCTGCAGGTGTGTAAGTATATTTGTTAATGAACCAGAGTGGAAAAGAAGCCGCGGAGAGCTGGGTAATAATGCGATTTCTTTCTATTATTTTAAAGATGTCTATGGAACAATGGGTGGATATTCTTTTTGTAAGAGTTCTAACAATAGTGATTTTATGGGAGGTGGGGCAGTGAGAATTGTAATGAGTGTAGCAGGGGGGGCATTGTTTTTTATGATAAACTGTAGTGTGAAATGAGGATGGGGTGCGAATAATTAAGATATCTAGGAATGGGAGAACATGGTTAGTTTCAGTTTCTAGAGTAAAGGAAATATCTTGGTTGTAATTATTAAGGGTTGATAGTATGAACCATTACAGACAGTTCAGGGGCTCCCCAATGGGCAGCCCTCTATCTACCATTATTGCCGAAATAGTCATGACTAGAATAGATAATTGGATCACCCATACCCTCCCTACAGATATCCAGTTCTGGCGCAGGTACATTGATGATGTCTTCTGTATTTGCAAAAAAGGTCAGGAGAGCTTCATACTATCAACCCTTAATAATTACAACCAAGATATTTCCTTTACTCTAGAAACTGAAACTAACCATGTTCTCCCATTCCTAGATATCTTAATTATTCGCACCCCATCCTCATTTCACACTACAGTTTATCATAAAAAACAATGCCCCCCCTGCTACACTCATTACAATTCTCACTGCCCCACCTCCCATAAAATCACTATTGTTAGAACTCTTACAAAAAGAATATCCACCCATTGTTCCATAGACATCTTTAAAATAATAGAAAGAAATCGCATTATTACCCAGCTCTCCGCGGCTTCTTTTCCACTCTGGTTCATTAACAAATATACTTACACACCTGCAGCTTCCAATCCTTCCATGACATACAGATCATTGTGTTATCTCCCTTACTCCCCCTCCTCTGTTAATATAGCCAGAAAACTCAAACCCTATGGCATCCGTACCATATATAAAAACTCCCCGAACCTTCTTTCATCCCTCCGTCACCCTCATACTAAGTCCTCAGCTCCCCCTGCCCCCCTTCGTCCTGTGGGTGCAGTCTACTCCGTCTCATGCGAACAGTGCCCTGCCACTTACGTTGGTGAGACGGGTAGATCTGTATCCATCAGGATGACTGAACATTCCCGCAATATTTCCCGTCAAGATACCAAGTCCCTCATTTATCAACATATGCAGACCACGGGCCACACTTTCAACATCAACAACCCCACCATACATTACAGCCACATACATATCTTACACCAAAGACTCATTTTAGAATCAATAGTATCCCACAAACTAAACAGCATCAATAGAAAAATAGAACTTCCAGAAGCCTATCATCCTCTCCTGTCCTTTATTTAAACTTCCCCCTTGTATTTAACTGTAAAAAATTCGACCTCCCTGACGCATATCAAGCTCTCCTGGCCTTCATGTATAAATTTCTCTTTTATATACTTGATATTCCATTGCAACCATATATTATGCCTCATTAATATTTCCTTCCTTCAGCTAATGTTCTGGCATCTCTTCTATTGCCCTATAGGATTTTTATTTTTATTTTATTTTATTTTTATTTTTTACCTCTCACTTTTTTACAAATAGTTAAATTGGCCATTTGCATGCTTATTTCTATATTTATGTAAATTAATATGTGTATATATTCACTACCGCCATCGTTGTCGTTCACAGTGTCGTTATATCTTGCCAGTCGAAGGGCTTTTGCCCGAAAGCTTGCTCTTATGCACCAATAAAGATACTCATCTTCCTTCGCCTTGTTATTATCGTATAAGTTCACTCCAGGAAGAATTATTCTACTATCTTTCTAAATTCGTTATTTCTTATACCTATGAATCTCTCTACGAGCGACATCGATTGGTACCTATGGATAATTCATAAGAAGTCCCTACAACTTTCGCGTTGGAGATGCCACCTTAGATTCAACCGTCTAAACGGGTCATTCGTATATAATAATTGTATAAACGAATGCAAGACAAAATCACCGCGAATGTTTCTTTTTTTAAGGCAATTTCTTTTTAAGGAAATTATCGTTATTTATCGTTAATTTTTGTTTCGATTTTATTGAAAAAAAAAACGATATGGTGCCTTTAAAAATGATCTTTATCACTATGCAGTTTTCTATTTAGTCAATATACCTAAGTTCATGTTGCAAATGTAATTATCTCTATCGATTTAGTAGGTGAAATGCAAAAAAAAAAAAAAAATCGACATGATGAAATCTTTATGAAAATTCACATTTTTATTTTTATATTTTCAAGACGCACACAGTTTGGGGCGGGACGTTTCACAAGAGAGACATCCACGGCGCCAATTTATAATTGTAACGAATAGTATTTTAATTAAAACATTTTAAAAACACACAGTTTGGAACGGGACGTTTCACAAGAGTGACATCCATGGCGCCAATTTATAATTGTAACGAATAGTATTTGAATTAAAACGTATTTAAAGTATATGCGCACTCGGGTAAAACCCGGGCGTTGCCCGGGCCATTCGTCTAGTAATATACTGTATAAATGAGTTTTTAAAATTGTAAAAAAAAAAATGCATCGGCCGGGAATCGAACCCTGGGCCGCCCGCGTGGCAGACGAGCATTCTACCACTGAACCACCGATGGTTATGAAAAATCCCATCCGTGAGCTTCAAACAGACAAACAGACAGAATAAGGCAAATATATAAGTAGATTTACTCTTCATTGTTGGCTTTTTATCTTACATTCATTCTTCATTGTTGGCTTTTTATATTATATTTACTCTTCATTGTTGGATTTTTATCTTACATTTATTCTTCATTGTTGGCTTTTTATATTATATTTACTCTTCATTGTTGGCTTTTTATCTTACATTTATTCTTCATTGTTGGCTTTTTATATTACATTTACTCTTTATTGTTGGCTTTTTATCTTACATTCATTCTTCATTGTTGGCTTTTTATCTTACATTTATTCTTCATTGTTGGCTTTTTATATTACAGTCACTCTTCATTGTTGGCTTTTTATCTTACATTCAATCTTCATTGTTGGCTTTTTATATCATATTTACTCTTCATTGTTGGCTTTTTATCTTACATTCATTCTTCATTGTTGGCTTTTTATATTATACTAATGATGATGCGCGCGCATCCGTGACAGCGATGAGGAATTGAGGAATTGAGGAAAGACGGTCGTGACTATATATGTTGATAATCCAAATTGTACCTTATCATTAGATTTGGTCTTATTACCTTCTGCTTCTAATCTATATTCCAAATTGTACCTTATCAGTAGATTTGGTCTTATTACCTTCTAATCTATAATCCAAATTATTTAAATAATGATAATGATCATAATGATGATGCGCGCGCATCCGTGACAGAACCGGCCGGCCGGCCCATTACGGTCGTGACTATATATAGGGATAATAATAATAATAATATAATAATAATAATAATAATATTATCATTAGATGATGATAATGATCATAATGATGATGCGCGCATCCGTGACAGAAACGGCCAGCCAGCCAGCCGGCCCATGACGGTCGTGACTATATATAGGGACTAGACGAATGGCCCGGGCAACGCCCGGGTTTTACCCGAGTGCATATATATTTTTAAAATGTTTTAATTAAAATATTATTCGTTACAATTATAAATTGGCGCCGTGGATCTCTCTTTTGTGAAACGTCCCGCCCCAAACTGTGTGTGTCTTGAAAATATAAAAATAAAAATGTGAACGGAAAAATATGTCCAGGGTAGCCTAGTGGTCATGGCATCTGCCCGGTAAGCGGAAGGTCGTGGGTTCGATTCCCATCCCTTGAATTTTTTTTTATCCATTCTGATCAAAATCTATCCATGAACTTCACACAGTGAACTTCACACAGACAGAATAAGGCAATTATATAAGTAGATAATCCAAATTGTGCCTTATCACACACTATTTTTTTATTTGGCCTTATTACCTTGTGTTTATAATCTATGACGTAATGCTGGCGGCGCGCGCCCGTTGGCTGCCGGCAAGCACGTGACCTCCCTGTGCGCGCGCATCCGTGACATAACCGGCCCATGATGGTCGTGACTATATATGTTAATAATAATAATAATATAATAATAATAATAATAATTATTATTATTATTATCATTAGATAATGATAATGATCATAATGATGATGCGCGCGCATCCGTGACAGAACCGGCCGGCCGGCCAGCCGGCCCATGACGGTCGTGACTATATATAGGGATGGATAATAATAATAATAATATAATAATAATAATAATAATAATAATTATTATTATTATTATTATCATTAGATAATGATAATGATCATAATGATGATGCCCGCGCATCCGTGACAGAACCCATGGCGGTCGTGACTATATATGTTGATGACTATAATAAAATAATAATAATAATACTTATTATTATCATTAGATAATGATAATGATCATAATGATGATGCGCGCGCATCTGTGACAGCGATGAGGAATTGAGGAATTAAGGAAAGACGGTCGTGACTATATATGTTGATATATAAATGAATGTATGTGTGTCTGTCTGTCCTTTATGCCTGACCAAACCACTCATTGGAACGCCATGAACTTTGGGAAGTTATTTAGTATAGTACTGGGAAGGTTTCTAGCAAATAAAATTTTTGAAAAAACTTTTCGCCTAAAAATAATCAAGATAAATATTTAATTTTCTGTTATAATTCAACAATCTGCTCTAAATATTATCATGATGATACGATGATTTTGTAATGTAGAAAATTAGGAAAGACAAAATTCAGGATGACACGGCAATTTATTTGAGACAAGAATAATGATACAATTCCAAGGCAAGATACTATTCCTTTAACTACCAATTACCGAGGGAACCAATTAATATTGATTTTATTCAATTTATCGAGTATTTTTAAAGGGACCGGGAAAAAATGTTCACTTTATCGAGAGATTCGTTAGACAAACCTTTACTCGGGTAAAACCCGGGCGAAGCCGCGTACGTCCGCTAGTATATATTTATAAAAATGAATATATGTGTGTGTGTGTGTCTGTCCTTTATGCCTGACCAAACCACTCATTGGAACGCCATGAAACTTTGGGAAGTTATTTAGTATAGTACTGAGAAGGTTTTTGAAAAATAATTTCTTGAATATTTTGAATATCCTTAGAGTTATTTGCATATTTGTAGATTTAACTCGAAAGCAGCGCCCCTATTGCGACGATGTTAACAAGTTTTTTTTATCTATAAGTTTTATTATCTATAAGTTTTATTATCACTAAGTTTATTATCTTAAAGATAAGTTTACTATCTTAAAGATTATTTATCAAAAGTAAGATTTCTACCTATTAATTGCGCACAAGTCAAAGTTAGTTTTATCATTTATCTACAACATTATATTGGGAGAATAGATAAAACGATGATTTTGTAATGTAGAAAATTAGGAAAGACAAAATTCAGGATGACACGGCAATTTATTTGAGACAAGATTAATGATACAATTCCAAGGCAAAGATACTATTCCTTTAACTTCCACTTACCGAGGGAACCAATTAATATTGATTTTATTCAACTTATCGAGTATTTTTCAAGGGACCGGGAAAAAATGTTCACTTTATCGAGAGATTCAAATTTACGAGTTTCAAATTATCAAAATATATCTATTATTTTTTTAAATAAGTTTATAGAGAATTGTTTTAACAAATATTCGTTAGACAAACCTTTACTCGTGTAAAACCCGGGCGAAGCCGGGTACATCCGCTAGTATATATATATATGAAAAAACAATAGAAAAAAAAGATAAGTGGGTCAGGTGTTGATATTAAAAATAAAGAAGGCATCTCCTGACCACGAGCACATGTGCTTTTTAGATGGAAGAGCGCCATCTAGTGGAGCAAAAATGAACAAAACGTTTATTTAGCTTGCTCCGTGATATTTGGCCAACCCAATTTCTTGATATATCAAGAAAAGCTATCCACTAACGCGTTTCGCGCTGTTGGCGCTCGTCAGCGTGGAGAAGGCTGTAACCACTGCGACCAAAAAGATTTTTGGTCCCAATGGCTTCCCGAAAAATCAAGAAATGGGTATTTAAGGCCAAATTTGCGTAAAGACGCTTAACACATAAAAAAAAAAACAATAGAAAAAAAATTCACGGAGCGAGCTAAATGCTAGACCGTGACGGCGGGCGGCTGGCTTCGGCAACACTGGAGCTGACGTCACTTCCTGTTGATGTAACCTGCAAGCGGCGTCGCCACGCTGACTTATTCTCTTTCTCCATGTTTACCATTTAATCTATATATAATCCTTTTACCTTGTAGTTAATTAAATAATAATTAACGTTGAACGCTGTGTGTAATCAAATTGGAATACAACAAAGATTATGAGACTGAAGAAGCGCAAGACCTAAAACGTAAGACTGAAGAAGCACAAGGCCTAAAACGTGAGTAACCAAATTTCCTTTGATTACTAGGCCCATCCTTTTTTTCTACTTACCAAATATTTTGTAAAATGGCAAACACGACGATTACAAAATTAAATGGTGCTCATTACTCCAGCTGGAGCTTCCAGATGAAACTCGTTCTAATCGAAAACGACTTGTGGAGTTTGATCAATCCAGGAGAGGCTAAGCCTGACCCTAGTGACCTTGTTGCAACAAAACCTTTTTTGTCGCGGGAGGGTAAGGTGTTTGAAAAAATTTGCCTCGGGATTAATGATGAACAACAATTGCATGTTCAACATTTGAATACTCCGAAAGAGGTCTGGGAGGAACTGGAAAAATTATACGCACCAAAGGATAGTAGATATCGAGCCGTACAACTAAGAAGGCAGTTATATGGCGAAAGGTTGACTCAGCACAGCAATATGGAAGGGTATATGGGGAAGATAAACCACATTGTAAACGAACGGGCCCAAATTGGCGACAAAATTGATGATGGCGATTTGGCTATGGTTCTTTTGGGTGGATTACCAGAGGATTGGGACACCGTTGTCTCAACCATATGTAACTTGCCTGATTCAGACTTCACGACCGCCACAGTTGTCACGGCTGTTGGCAGAAGCAGAAAGGCGTTCGTCAAATCTACCAAAAGATGTGGGTGCCATGGTCGTTAATGCCTCTTCGAAGCCCATTGAAATAGAAAAACAATTTAAAGCAAAGGTTGTTTGTTTCAAATGTGGAGGTGAAGGCCATTATGCAAGGGAATGCAGGAAGAAAGGAAAGAATGAACAAAGACCAAAGAGGTTTGACCAAAACAAAGGCGTAAATATGTCGGCAATGTGCAACACTTTGTTTGGAGCTACCGCCGAGACCTGGATCATAGATTCTGGTGCGACGCACCATATGACTCCCAAGAGAGATTACTTCACATGTCTGAAAGAGTGCACAAGCAATATGAGTTCCATCACTGTTGCGAATGGCTCTTCTATAGAAGCATGTGGTATCGGTACTGTCAGTGCCAATATTGTTGGACACAAGGGAGATGCCAGCAATTTGGTTGCCAAGAACACCTTGTACGTTCCAGATATGCGTCACAGTGTTCTGTCTGTACTCCAAATGATAGAAAACGGTAGAAAAGTTGTCTTCAACAGGAGTGGTTGCCACATTAAGGACATGAAAGACAAACTCCTGATAGAGGGAAAGAAGCTGGGTAGACTTTACTACGTCCAGACTACTCCATCCTCTCCGATAGATCAGAATGGTCGTGTTTCTCTTGTATCTGAATGCAAGGAAGAGCTTACACTGGAACTTTGGCACAAAAGGCTGATGCATGTAAATGCATATACGATAGCAAAGATGGCCAAGAACCAAAGCGTAAGAGGACTTGATTGCAGCCCGGCAAAGCCAGAAAAGTGCGAAGACTGCTTGATCGGCAAGTCTTACCGTCTGCCATTCCTTCAGCACTCACACAAGGAGGAAAAAGAAATCATGCCGTTGGGCTTGGTGCATGCGGACTTGATGGGTCCACTTGACGTATTGAGCTGGGGAGGAGCCAAGTACGTCTTAACCATCATTGATGAATCTACGAGATATACAAGCGTATTACGATGCACTAGCGCGCCATCTGTTATCAAATTATAAAACTATAAACTGGCGAAACCGCTGGGAGGGTTCACCACTGATGAGCCAGGCCCTCCCTTTAATTTTTCCATTGCAGTAAGGACAGTAGAAATTGTTTAATTTTAAAAAGAATATTACGCCTCTAAAATAGTTTTATAATATACAAGTGTATTTTTCCTGAAAAACAAAAGCGGAACCCTGGGAAAAGTCAAAGAGTGGGTTCAAGAATCTGAGAAACAAACCAGCCGGAAACTAAAACGAATACGTACGGATAATGGCTTGGAATTTTGTTCCAAGGAATGGGACACTTTCTGCACGAGCGTTGGAATAGTTCATGAACACACTATGACGTATACACCCCAACAGAATGGTGTGGCAGAAAGAATGAATAGGACACTCCTAGATCTTGTCAGGAGCACTATATCTGGAAGTGGTCTGCCAAAGGCTTCCTGGGCGGAGCTGACTTACACCGCAGCCTATGTCAGAAACAGAGTTCTCAACAATCACAATGGTGAAAGCACGCCATATGAACTGTGGACAGGGAACAAGCCTAGCCTTAAACACATAAGAACTATTGGCTGTCAAGTATTTGTCCATATTCCAAGACAAGTCCGTAAATCCAAACTCGAAAGGAGAGCTGTCAAAGGCAACCTTGTTGGATATGCACTCAGAGGACGTGGCTACAGAGTGTGGATTCCTGAGATGAAGAAAGTGGTGGAATCTCGGGACTGTGTCTTCAAAGAGAGTGATGTATCGAGGAACGACAGCA